TGACAAAACCCTGTCGCTACTGTCATTCATTTTCACTTTATATTTTTCTTCTCCCGAAAAAACATAGTGGAATTTATTCTTGTCTCTCAAGTTATTTGCTTTTGACTGATAAAGATGGCAATCATAGTTGTATGTTTTATCCAGGTATTAAAAATCATTGCCAGGTCTCTTTTAAACTTGCTCTTCGGGGCCTTCAAATGTCCAAAGCCTACGCTTAATTACCTATGTGGATTCTAATCACATCACAAAATTACAAACGCGTTGATTGTCACCATCTTTTCCACGAGTCATTCATCTAAGAAATTTTCACTGCATATTTAAATATTACTTCGTGTGTGGAGAAATACAGATGGTAAACATTTTCCTTACTATCAAGTAGGTCCAGAAAGAACTAACTGTAAAAGATATCGCCGAAAACATCACGTGACCGACATTGTGGCTGGCTATTGGCTGGTGCCAAGCTCGTGAATGCTTTGAAAGCTGTCTTAGACTGGTCTCACCTTTGAGAGGAATGCCAAAGCTGTTTTAGCTTTGTATACACAGTTATTTCGCTGCATAGATGTGAAGCCAAGAGGGTATAGTCACGAATACTGAATCCAGTCTGTGTTTGTTGTTTACTTAAAATTTACAATTAGCAGTTGCTTATTCTGTTCGAAATCTGTTTGTAAAGTCAAAGGGCCACATGTTCAAACGATTTACAAATGGAGGTGACGTGGCCCAACAAAAAGTGATGGTTCCCTGAATAAGGAAGAGTACATATTGCCTTCAACCGGCCCTCTTCTGTGTAGTGGTGTTCTCTTAACCCCCAGCAGCGATAATACCCCTGGGTGATGGTTATCGTAATGTGATATAATATAGTTATAATTCTTCTAATTTACTGTTTGTTCTAAGAGTCGTGATCCCGAGGGAAAAAGTTTCTGTTCTCCTTGGTTGTGATGAGCAAAATTTTTTTAATACCAAAATGACATACATTCACATTGCCCGGAGGTCATGTTTGTGGCGCCTTTTTTATTTGTATGAGTAAGTCTTTATTACATGTTTCGGGGAAATAAACCACGGTCAGCCGTTATCGAAAGGTGTGTAGATCCAGTTATTTGGACATTTTAACAAAAGAAAAAATCCACTGCCAAATGAATCTGTTGTGCATTAAGCAAATTTCATATTCTAACATTTCGTGGTCGAAACATGATTTCAAGAAGGTCAATTTTAAAGTCTGTCTCTTTAACATAAATCCTTCTAAGCTCCAAACGCCAAAGTACAGTTGGTGATTTGCTTGGGATGACTGACTCTATATGCTATAATACGCCTGGAGCAAAAGAACTTGGTGGGATCATAGGAAGAGGGGGAATAATTCATTGTCGAACGCAAGGCTGAACGCTCCCAGCACCTAATTGCTCTCTGACGGCAGCGGGCTGCCTAATTAAAAATTATAGCGGAAAGTTATGGCTGTGGTTGAAGGTTTCTATGCTGAGCTGAGTACAAGAGAATGTAAATTTACAGTTCATGGAGAGTTGGAGCCTTTTTATGATTAGAGTCTCTGTCCTAGCGGGAATTATTGATGTTTGGAGTTTTAATGGTGAGTTGGTACCTTGGGAAGTATTTGTTTGTATGCCGTAATGATCTCTACTCAAGTCGTCCTTAGTAGTCATTGCGCACAGTACGGTTGGATGATGGAATTGACACTATTGATTTCGCTACTAGGAACACTGATATAGTCTTTGATACGCACAATAGCCGCATACAAAATGTTGCCATATCTTATAATTTCTCGTTTAATGCGGAAATAGACATTTAAAGAATGAGATCAGAGAGCATCACTAAAGGTGTCTCGGCATAAATGAATTTAATTAGTAGTTAATGACATAAATGGTGCACCAGCGTGAACCAGATGGAGAACTGTAAAAGTGCATGTACCCTTCGCTTCTGTGCAAGTATATTTCGAATGCTAGGGTCCTTCAACATCAGCATACCTAAAGGGACACCGTCTTCTTCCTCGAGGCTAGTATTCTCTTGTCCCCACTCATCAGTGAGAAGGGGGGAGAGGAACTGTTATGAAACAATAGTCAATCCCAAAGGAATGTCCCTCATTTTGTCTCACGTTCTACAATCGTATGGGAGGCCAGGCGGTACACTTAAAATCTAATAAAACGTGTTGTGAATTTGATCAGGAATGTATGGTGATGGCATGGCAGTGAATGGCGCTCATTTCATCCTTTTATCATATAGCACTCGTATACAGAAAGTTTTTGGCGTCGTTACAGTCATTCACCCCGTGCCTAAGATCGATTACCATACACGCATGAAAAGTAATGATCGTCTTATATGAATTTTTACTTTTAATTTTTTTATTGCACATTTGTAGGTGTATGTTTTGTCTGATTTTTATACTTCAGAATGTGTTGTCTAAGTTTACATTTCGTCGATGGTATTTGTTTCTTTCAAGCAAACCATTTAGTGTTGCTATTTATACCTAATTCATAGTTGGCATCACACTACATTTAAGTACCATTGTAAGAACTTTTATTTAAACACATCTATTAGATTAGCATAATTCTTTTGTCACCAGGTGTGGGAAAAAGAGAGAGATTCTTAGGATACCATTTAAAAGAATATCTGGTATTTGTAGGGAATTTAACTCCTACTATTTTTCCTACAACTATATCTACTCTACGAGCGAAAATGTTCGATTAATACACTATAAATCTAACCAGCTATAACTTCTCCGCCATTGCATGTAATATTTGCACTTGTGACAAGTTTAAATTCACGTTCAAGGAAAACATTCAATTCATTTAAGGAAAGTATTTAAGCTAAGTGAGATACTGATGAGTGTAGCAATGTGAGACATCTTGATATTCAATAAATACTCAGTCGTTAGCTGATATATCAAATGTTAGATCGCTGGACGACGCTGGTCCCCACGGTAACGAATCAAAGTGTGCACACGTGTTTATCAGTCTCTTTAATCTTAATATTTGTGCCAGTTTCGCCAGCTGAGGTCCGACGACATTTCAATAAAACGACAGAAACAGTGTGATTTATATTGAATTTTTGCAAAAATTAATCATAGTTTCGTTAAAACATAAGAATTATGAAAGTACTCCGCACGCATGTCACTGGGAACCAGACATACCGTGCCGTGATTAAAAAATGAACCACAGAGCACCCTATTAGGATACAATCTGCGAAGTTGTGCGTATCAGTCCAAACATGAAAAAAATTAACTCGTACACAGGCCATCCTTGAATTGCGCTTACGAAGTGATGACATTTGGAAAACAAATCGAGCAACTTTGTCATGAATATTCGTCGTGAGCAGAAGTTTATTAGTAGCGACAGAATATAAATGTCCTGACTGACGACCAGCAGCCGTAACTGCAAGCCTCGTTGCATCGTCATTACATATTGTCACTGAATTTCGCAAACACACCGTGTGCAGCGGGATCTGTATTATGAAGACCTAGATTCGTTCAAACTTGTATGGCTGCGATTTCAATTTATCCCGAACATTTGTATCCTTGATTTTGAGCAAACAGAAAATTGAAAATGTTGAATGTAATACAGTGCACTGCACATAGCTTACGTGGGTCTTTCTCAAGAATGTCTTGCAATTTGGGTCGAGGTTTTGTACAGGGCAATTTTGTACAAATTTCATCCTCTGTTTAGATTTCTTCATAGAAAACGATCATGTTGGGCACTGTGGTGAAGCCAGTGCTGTTGGAAAACAACCAACACTAACAGTATAAATGTGAGTACTTTTTATTTGCCAATTTCAGTGGGATCTTATTCCACATTTTAACAATTAAGAGAGGTTGCAAAGGTACCAGCTTGTTACCATGGCATAGCTTTACCTTATACTTGTAAAGTCCAAAATTCGAAAAAATAGCACTAGAGTTTAGGCCATAACTTACTTCCGCCTAGATGGAACACGATACATTGTGAAGACCTCTGTCAGGATATATGTCAGGCTGCTACTTTCAGAATTACCCTATGGTGCTTGGTCCGATGTTTGTTCCGTTTTGCAGGGATGACGTTTTTGTTCTGGACTCATCTAAGTTGTTAAGAACCATGTTAAGTTACCGCAGGCAGTATGTTTCCAAATTATTTTAAATAGCCGTATTTCAAGAGAGGCATGCCATTGATCTTACATATCATTAATTTAACTGAAGCCAGCTTAAACCCGAAGGACATCCGCTAGAAATTTTCTGTAAAGTACCCGCATTTATACCAAAACTAAGCCGTGGCTGTCTCACTTGAGCGACCAAAAATTGCAACTGTGTTAGAAATCGATAATTTAGATTTCAGTGTCGGTGTTTTACAAAGCAAACGATGCTTTCATTCCCATATCCCTTGCATCTTCACAATCATGATGGTGCATTCTTAATGGCGCACGCACCGTGTCTTATTGGCATAAAAATCACCGGAGGCCCTTAATCCCTCTTGGCAACCGATACGACGAAACCGACTCTCAAGGTTGCAACTTTACACCAGCTGTTCGTCCGCGATGATACCATTTAGATTCCTGAAGATTTTCTGCCTCTGGCTGCGTTACACCACGATGCCCGCTTCCGTCTTCCGATACACAAGACCACGGTGCATGCACACGCGAAATGGCGTCTTGGATATGAAACACGGTTGCTTCAACGGTAACTCCGTAACAGACAGAATTTTCATGAGGCACTTGACTCTTAAGACGTTGGGCCAGTCGTCGCGGGCATTGCTGCTCATTCCTGCAGTTGCATGTGATGTGTGGTGCTCGCGCATCGGAAATGAAGAAATTGAGGATCCTCGGTAGGTGTGCAAGAAGACATAGTGGGGAGACACAGAGATTGATGAAAGAAATGAAGAGGGCTGGATGGCGATAGAAACAGCTAGTACAACTAACCTACTCAAAAGTAAACACTTTGACCCTTAAAAATACTGAAATTGTGATAGATGAGCTATCAGACAAGTAGGCCTATTAGTGCATAGTGACAAATAAAAGGATTGTTACGAACGTACCTTGTAATCCATCGTACTGCCATATATCCCACCAACCAAGACCTGACTGACCTGAAAATCAAATGACAGTATTTGAATGATGAGAAAAATTCCAATCAATAAACATTTCATTTCTCGTTGTTTCTTTCCCGTAGCTCACAATTTTATTTTTTTTTACTCAGATTGTTTCACTCATCCTGCCAATGAAAACATGTTTCAACCCAGAATGTGGCTAGAGACGTTGGGAAAGTATGTTCACTTTCTCTGTAAAAATAATCTAACTTAGGAATTTTTATTAATAAAAAGTAACTAATATGACTTCATTGAAAAAAATAAATGTTGAATGTTGAGTAACAAGTGCAAACTTTCTTTTAAATTTCTTAACTGCGAAAGAATTCGGCACCAGGAACGTTCAGTGTATATTTTCATGTCCTGCTTTCACATTTGGTACATACTTCAGAATATATCAAAAGATATTTTGATGTCAGAGAGGGAAAATAATCCGATTTTGAAATCATTTTTCTGCTTAAAACAAATCTATGAACGTTTTTTCAAAAGATTGAAAAAGCCGGTTTATTGCAAAACATTAGTGCCCATTAAGTTATAATTTATTAAAAATAATTTCTGGCTCCATGCATTGGATCTAACGACGATCTAATAAGATAACTCTGACATCGATAGTTGGCTGGATATCCTGAATACGCACTGGGAATTTTATCCTCCTACACCATGCGATTACTGTAATACCAACCACCAAAATTCACCACTAATTCAATTGTCTGTCATAATCAAATAAATCAAACTGTGAGATCATGCAGCCAACCACACAAATTCCCTCTGGCCATAACTATTTACTCGTTAAAACAGATATTAAAGGGGCGGTGTAAGAGGAAGGGCGCTGACTGATGAAAACTTGAAGCCACACGCCACAATCAAAAACAGTTAAATTTTGGTTCGAGGTGTCTTTAATACACAGTGTTTATTTTGTATTTTTATTAAAGGTATATAAGTATCATTCATAAATTAACTCTCCCAAATAGGAGCCATCATAAAACCTGAACTAAAAGTGAAGACTGTGGAAATTCGTTTACATTCCCAACTAATTTTGCAAAGTGCATTTAAGGTACACTTTTGAATGAGGTATAAACTCTGCCTTTATTATCTAAGTATACCTGGAACAAGAATTCACTTATTTGAGACGGACAAATAAAATCACGTTAAGGCAGGATTGGCTGTATAATCTTACCTTCAGTGAGGGCCTATAATGATTTTTTAATATAAACCCTATCAAATTAGGTTAACCAGAATGGTTTTTGTTTATACTAAACTTGAATTTATTTTCAACATCATTACTGCCAACCTGCCGCATCTCTGATCCAAACATTTTCATATTAAATAGGTGTGAAGCAAGTTGTATATGGTCTCAGTTGCAATCATAATAGACCAGAGTGACAAACCCCGCGCCTCATAAGGCCCAGCACCTAGCCCTGCGGAACTACGCATGATATCACAGCCTACCATCTAAAAAATGGCGGCATGCCCGAACCGCGATATTGTAGATAATACTGTTGGGGAAAAACTCTCATTAAACCCCAGACTGATGAAAGAAATAGGGTACCAGCCATGAACTTAACTTAGCTCGGAGCTCAAAACCACTCGGAAAGCAGAGAGACTAAGACATATTTCCCGCCGTTGAAACGGTGCGAAATGAACGGATCGCCCTGTTTAATTTTGGTGATTTTTTTTACCGCACGACACTCCGGGCTGTTATTTCGTATTCCGCGCCAGTGTGTTTAAATCGCCATAGGACTGAGATGGGGGAACTCCAAGAGTTATTACAAGTCAATCCGATTTTATGTGGGTTAATTTGTTCCCCATGATGACTAGGAAAACGGTTTTGTTTGATTAAGTTTCGCCAGGGCAAGTAGGCAAACCAGGTTTATGTCATGGTAATGAAATGGAAAAATACTGAGTGAGCATAAATTTTCAATGGTGGTGACCTCATGGAATATAAAAAATGGCTATGCAGTTTAGCTCCTTTATGCAAATTAGAAATTCAAAGATTTAAATGTCATTTACATTATTTCAAGGCCAAAGTTATTCCCAGGGGATCTCTTTGAGTTCTGTCACGTATGTTGATGGCTTTGGTAACTGACAGTACAATTTTAATGGAGAGTGGTAAAAATAGGTACCATTTTGTATGTGATAATAATAGTTACGAAGTATGTTTCAGACAAAAACGTTTTAAGTTTCCCTTTATTCTTATTGCCCTGCCCCTTTAATGACTGCTATGATGCAAAACTGTGGTGGAATATTAATTTCACTGTTTATACGGGAGGATGTTCACTTTGCTGTAATGCCACAGTCGAGGTAAATACACCAAGCTTGTATGTGGCAAATGTGTGTTGATAGTTTAAGGCAGGTATCTTGTACAAACAAGCGATTACCAAGGAGCTGCATTGAGCGAAAACTTAGCCCGACCCTTTACCTTCTCGACAGAGCATCATGCTCCATCTATCTCCCTGACTATTTGAAAAATAAACCTACGGTGTTGTTTCTCATAACACTCCGCTCGAAGGTGGCACATACATGAGATATACTATACACCAACTTACCTGCACACTCGGAGAGAATCGTAAGGATGAGAAGCAGAGCGGGAAACAGACAGGAGACAGTCTTGATGGGCATCATGATGAAAGATGTGTCTCGAAGTCTTGGTACACAGGGTGTCAAGAAATCAGACCGGGGTTAGCTCAGACACGGTCTCGTAAATAAGGCTGCTTCCCGACCCTTGAGCTGACCCTCTATGATACGGCAATGGTGACCCTACAGGCGTATGGAAATCGAGACACGCGTATGAGCCGAGAGGTTGCAGAAATGGTGGAGGGGATCGGGATCAGATTTCCTAGATTAAGGGATGCTGGCCGTACTGGCCGGACTGACACCACAGAGTAGTAATCAGCAGAGACTGCCCACACTGATGCAGTTTCTCCCGGTGGGTGTGATGAGTCCTTCTGGCAGAGTTAATGCTGTGGACTGGAGATCCGGCACGCGGACCGGGGCTGATGATGATGATGACGATGATGGTTAAGTCGGTTTGGTGTGCCTCCGGGTATCGTAGTTCGGCTAGGCAGCAGTCATCGATGGGACTAACTGATAACGACTGATTCTATCGGTCACCGTCGTTTGGCTGACCACAGATGCTTCCCTCGGATGTTTCTCCACATTCAACTTGTCTCGTCTACAGCTAGTCTACCCTGCGAAAAGTTGTGATGAGACTTCCAAAAACGATGTTTTTTTTTTTTACATCAGTTGCGTTTGTATTCTGCAGATCCCACAAGATCCGTGGATGATGCGTTTCGCACGACCGAGCTGCCGGTGCTTAAGAAGTCGTGGCCTTAATAAACATGACTGCGAGTGGTTGTGCCGAATTCATTGTAGTCCTTTTAAGTTAGCTTGACTGATCGGTTGCCGCAGTGGACCAGACGAGATGTAGAATAATCTCCATCAAGACCTTTGACAGCAAGCTGGCGTCTTTTCTCTAGTACCTCCCGAGCCACAATCTACAAAATATCGTGAGCTGGTGGGAGTTAATACGAAAAATATATGTAGACAATATATATAACACAGAAAACATCTGCCCTATGCACACAGAGTGTGAGGACATCCGCACTTTCTGAGTGAGTGAGTGAGGCGTTCACTTCACGATTTATCATTGTAGTACTGCTTAATAATTATTTCATTTTCATGCAGAGAGGCTTGTGCGTGATCGCTCGTGCGCAGGTCAGAAAGGACAGCCCATTCTCGGTGAATGAAAACCGCCACAGGGCAGGCATAGTGCTATTGACAATCTCGCGTTGAGGCCCGTATGCGATCGATGTTTCGACAGGTTTTACCAGCGATCGGAATCAGACACGGGGAATTTCACACAGGCACACATGCACTGGGATCGAGGTTAATTTAAATTTGCATGGGCGGCTAATTGTGTTCAAAATTGATTTTTGATGATAGGTAGTAAACAATGGAGTGTGCAGGCAACAGAACAATAAGGCGGCTTCAAAAATATATAGTGGCGCCATGAAATATTGCAGGTACCTTCGTCATTTGCATATTAATAATAGACGTTTTAAATATATTCATTTTGACGTGAACTTTTAGACTAGATATGGCTCTATGACAAAGATAATAGTATCCAAAATTAATTTTAAAATAAGGAATAAAAGAAACTTACTTTAATCACATTCTTTGCCAATAAGCAAATGCGAAAACGCATCTTCCCTTTTGTCTTTTTCAAATACCCACACTAAAAGTCTTAGGTTTCCCAAACTCCCTTTAGGGGCATAAATTTCTCATAAACAACGTTTAAAATTCCATTGGTTTTTGTCTTTGCAGAGAGAAAAGGACAAAACTACCTTTTGGGACAATCGCTCATGTTTGTACAATTTTGTAATGGCTTCAGTATTTTACATTAAAAAATAGGCCTACACCAGGAAAAAATAAGTTGGAAAAAAGTTGGAAAAACCAAATGTGATAATCAGCAGACGTGAACAATTATGTGAATTTTTGTGGCCACGCGGAAGGAAGACGGTGAAGAGGAAAGAGGAAACGAGACGGGGGGGGTGAACAGAGCAGCATTTAAAAAAATGCATCATCTTCGTCTAAGAGGAAGAACAATGCAGACTAACATTTTGTCAATTGAGTTCAAACAGCTGCCTGCCAGTTCCGGAGTCCTGTCAGTCGATTGGTCCCCATTTTACAGTTTATGTGATGTAATTGCAGTTGTGTTTTTCGACAGAGCTGTTTTACGACCAAACGTTAGTCATGGAAAATAATTTGAATGATTGAATTATTTGTTTGAAATTTCTCAAATATTTTTTGTGTTGTGTGCTTCTTGCTGTACGAAACCTGATGAGATTGTTTCAAAGATAAAGAGGTTTTGTACAAAATACGTACAGTGTACATGACGAAACTTGAGTCACGAAATAAACTAGTTAAGAAATCCATATCGTCTGACAACCTTTACCGGATCATTTTCCAGTCCTGTCCACGTCTTTTCCCGTCTCCATGCCTCACCACACGGCTGAAAATACAGCGATTCTTTAATTAATACCGAGCAAAGGTATTCATTGACTGAAAAAAATCGAATCAGACGCGTCTTTACTCATCAGCGCCTGTTCACGTCGCGCCATCATCTTGGTCCGACCTCCGTATTCCCAAGTCGTGGTTAGCCACCAAGGTCCGTCGTCGTGTACGTGAAGAGACAAGCGTCAGCGGGTTGTTTTGGTAAGGGATGTTTTTGTTTTGTTTTTTGTTTTGTTTTGTTGGGTTTTTTTGGAACCACAAATCATGGTTAATTTATTTATCGAAATTTGCCTCACGGTCTCTTCAAGATGAGACGAAGACACTGATATGACACGGGAGAGTTGTTCTGGCGGTATGTCCATGAAATCGTATCGTTTTCTGTGTCTTTGCCTTGCGTCTGAAGGTCAACTGCCTAAGAAACGAGCATCGGGATAGCGGTCCCAATAAATCAAATAAAGTAATTAGGCCTTCCAGCCTCCTTCTCTCCTCCCCCGCATAAAAATAATGATATAAAGAGGTAAATACGGTATTGGAAAATAGTCGCAAACTCAAAACTATTACACACATAACAAATTAAAATAAACAGGTTAACAACGATCAACTTGGTTAATCATAACTAGCCCACCAGACATGCCAAGTCGTACTGAAAACAAAACGGACAGGCTTAAAACACAGCTAAGCAAGCAAATTCTTCAACTTTCGTTGATATTTGCTTCAGATCTTTTATACTGTGCTATATCTATAAAAAGGAACCCTGATTTGCTAGTATATTTAAATGTTGTTAAAGTTACAACAGGGCATTAGTATAGCAACAAAGGTGCAAAGTGGCAGAAAACTTTGAGCAAAATTGGAATGGCTTGGCAAAATAGGTTAGCAAATGAACTTCAACGCAAACTCGGTACGGTGAAAATAATCATAATTATTAAAGTGTAAAACCGGGGTGGTAAAATGGATAATGTAACTATACCGAATATCTCGTTATATTAAAGTATTCCCAAATTGGCTGCTAGCGTGTTCGTGTCTTTGTAGCCTAAAAGAGACAGAATTTCTATTTAGCAACAGGCAAACAAAATCCTAGCGCCTGGGAAGGGGGCATCAGCCGTAAAGAAAAGAAGACATATCATGGATTTATTCGAAGTCAGGCCGAGAAATACTCTTCAGAAACTCAATACTTTGGATGGGCTCTTAGGCATAGGTACAGAGTCATATAACATGCCTAGTAGAAATTCTTGAAGTGATTTACGATTTATGTGCCTTCGTCATAATAAAGCCACAGCTGTGTGTACGTGCGAACTCCAAGCTATTTCTAATTAGAAGCCGGCACTCCCTCCTCTGGATATTTTGAAATTCACCTCTCTGCACCATAGGTAGAGTAGTGTACCCGATCGCTGTAACAAAAATATCCTTTGAAAAACTTGATGGAGGTCCATGCAACGGGATGAAATTTGGAGTTTAAATCCGCTCTCATTATTCACCGTGAATCGGCACGGGAGCTGAACCGTGATGAACGAGGCATCGCTGGCGGCCATCCACCCCTGTACCTCCCCTTAGTCCCCCTAAGGCCCATGGTAGAAACTTAGCGCATTCAGTACTGCGCTCAGCTGCGGTGTTTTATTCCATTGGGGAAACCAAGCGAAACGGTAAACTTCCCAAATTGGTTTTCCCAGACCCAATTACCATTGCAAATGAGCTGCGGAATCCAGTTTGTATCGAGACCTGGATTAAGTTAACAAACACGAACGGACCGTGTTTGGTAATTAGCTTATGGAATCCAGTATAGTAAATTTACCAGTAAATTTACCTAGGCCTATAGGTAAATTTACATTTGATAATTAACACTTTGGGTTAAAGGAAATTTTAGCGTGTATACATTTAATGAGAGACTGGAAACATTTACCATTTGTGATTAATCTCCAATAAAACGGTGATAGGCCACATGGTGAAAATCTGCTTGATAACGTACTGTGAGGTACGAAAATGAATGTACAGGTGTTAACTGTTAAAGTGGAAAAAAAAAGTTGAACGAAGGTTATGTAGATGGTGCGCATGGCCATTCTGTGCAAAAACAGTCTTCCACAGTGCCTCCCACTGGACTGCCCCTTCACAAACATCCTCGGAAGGCTGCCCCTCTTCATCACTTTTGTTCACTTTCCTCTTTGGAACGCTTTGTCCGAGTGCAAATGAAAACAGCTTAATTGGGTTGAATTTGTATATTTTTAAGAAATAATTTAAGCCTACTTTATTGCATCTCTTAGGAATTGTCATGACTTTGGCTTCCCGAATATACCAATATTCACGAATGTAGCTCGGCTGGTTTAATAAGATGCATGCAGGTTAATGCAGCACCTGTGTCGGTCTACCCCTCGTTCCCCTTCTGTCAAGGGAACTCATCCGCCCACCTGAGTCATGCAGATAACACCGATTATACAAGTTGCCCTGACATACAGCGTCATTAAAATATGTACCAGTACAAACAGGAGAGCTGTTTATGGTCTTATCGTGAATTGTGATCCACACCATCCCAGCTTCTCCGAGAAATCCACAATTTCAGTATAAAAATATCTTTATTAAAATGCATTAATTAAACAGTTAACTTTTCCCGGTGATTCCTCGTAATCAATGAGGTCTTCAAACTGTGCCTGACGTGGCATAATCATGAGTGGAAATACATGTATATGAGAGCAAAAGGAAATTGAATTCTCCAATGCTATAGTCTGGCCAATGCATCTTTTGTAAGTGATTAAATTCTACAGAACAAACGAATTGAAGTGCAGTGATTTTTAATTCCCTGTGTGATGAGATGAGTCACTCATTGTGTGTCAAAAAACACCAAAATGTCAGTACACAGTTTGCCTCCAATAAATTATCTTCCAACATTGCCACGTGCAAGTTATAGCAAATTCGGGAGAAATGAAACAATTTTAAACTTGTACGCAGCCACAAAAAGGGAAACGTAAGCCTTGCATTACCCCGCCGTTTCTCGATGATGAAAGAACAAGAGAAGAGAAGTGTCAAGAGACCCCGACCCTCGTGTTTGCAGAGCGCCTTGAATGACGGAATATATGGGCCGTCTCTGGCGCCGACTGAAGATAAAAAACTCGCAGGAAACGATTTTTCAATTTTATCGTCATCTTTTTGATGGCTAGAATGTTACTTTATTTTCGTCTGCTTTGATGTGGGTCATCATTGCAACGTGGGAGGGAACTGACACTCACTTGTTGGAGTTGACGTGCCTGGCATCTGTGATGATGGAGCGGGTGAATTTTCCCTGGCTGACCAAGATTTCAGCGTAGTTAATTTCTAACTTTTCTTTCCCGTTCTCCTTTGCTCTTAACTTGATGTCTGTCTGAGACGCATTTACAAAAGAAATTAGGCCAAGCTCGATATACAGTAAGGGAAATAGAACATCGGCGTTCAATGTTGGCAAAATTTTGGGGACACCAACAACGTAATTGTAAGGAATTTCGATATACTTAGGATTAGTAAAGTTAAGTTCAGCGTATTTACGCATACTGCATTGTAAGTTGCTGTGGTGAATTAAATTAATTTTTTCAAGTTTGATTATATATTTAAATCCTCGGTTTACAAAGTTGGAGAATATTCAAGGATGCACTTTAAGAGACTCTCTGAAATGTCAATTTTCTATGCCCATCTCAAACATTCCATTGGACCTCATTGTCGAGGTACTTGTTTACCAATCTTTCAGATGTACATCTGAAGTCCTGCTGCCGTCGGACGAGATCTTAGTATCTACTTGGTAAGCTTCACCTGTAAATTACTGGCAGATCCGAGACTCCAGGTCTCGAGTCGAGAAGCCTCGTGTCTTCCTTCGTCAGATTGACGGCCAACCAAGAAGACACTCCAAACTATGTAAAACAAGTCCCCGAGCCTCTTCACCGAGCCCCCCCCCGCGTCCATACCTGATGCGAGGTGAGTATTTCTTGTAAAGACTTGTCATAAATTATTCCAGTGGCCATTACCGGCCGGAGCACGCGGAGCACACTCCAAAAGGTGCGAAGACACTCGCAGGAGTAATTATTCCCATGTGGAGGAAAAAAGTTGCCCTTTTCCTCTGTGAAGAGGGTGCGATCTCCCGAGCTTGCGCTAAAAGCGAGCGTATGTCATTATGCCCATCGATTGGGGGGGGATGGGGAAAATTCCCGCTAAAAATCGTACCACGTTCATCTGTCCGTCTGGTGTGGCATTTGTCGATCGGTGACACTCCATCGTGCATTTGGGAGTACCTTAAGTAAATATCTCCGGCAATTCCTGACTCCATACTCACACCAAATTCAGGAAGAGTTCTGTCGTTTTGTGATCATGTTTTATTCACAGAGATCGATACACTCTGTGGTGGAATGCCGAGTAATACTGTGGCTGTGTGAAGGGATCAAGAGAGACCGGCAGTAGTTTGAAGTAATTGACAGGATGCATATTTCCCAGTCATGTGTACCCAAAAGGTACATATTCCATAAAATTAGCTCATGAAATGAATTGTGACAAAACTAGCCTATGTTCTGTAACGGATAAATCCTGTTTTGTCGTCTTGGAGTTCATTTTGATCGAACTGGATAACCAATCAAGGATTTTATCCTATGTTTTAAGCAGTTAAACTCATTCGTATGTAGATGGGCCAATTGTTGAATCTTTTTCACATTTTGTGTCCGGTAAAAATTGTTCTGCTGAATCAAGCGAATGATATAATCGAACAACACACTCTGAAGTTTTTACAGTTTCTGGGGGTTTTCTCTTCAGTAATAGATAACCAAGGTAACTCAATCGATTCAGCCGAATTATTCGCCAGGAACCCGAGTCGTGCCGGACAAGTTTTACATCGGGGTGAGGTATAAATGCACGTGCATGTACCTCCTCCAATTTGCTCGTAGTGAGGTCTCGTGCCATTGGAGACCCACGGATGCATTCGTTACGAGTCGTCTCAAGGGAAGAGGAAGAGAAAGAGGTCTTGCTTGCATGTCTTTTTATGGATTGGCTGTCTGACATTTGCGACTTGGCACAAGTGTGGGTTTCTGCGTTTTGGTTGACTAAACTTTTTTTCGATGGATTTCAGGTTGGCGTATTTCCTCACCTTTCACCTCACCGGCCCGGGTTCGATTCCCGGTTATGTCCACATGCGAAATGGGTTATCATTCCCCAACTGATTCCGTGGGTTTTGCACAGAATTTGGGTTTTCCTCTCATGGCTAAAATGTAACTGCTTCTCATTTTCTCTTTTCAACAGGTTTCTTCAGGCTTGAGAGATACAATGCCTGGAGAACTTTTGATGAATCCTTGGTTTCCCTGCAAGAAATACTTAACAATAATGATCATTCCCTAACTGATTCCGTGGGTTTTGCACAGAATTTGGGTTTTCCTCTCATGGCTAAAATGTAACTGCTTCTCATTTTCTCTTTTCAACAGGTTTCTTCAGGCTTGAGAGATACAATGCCTGGAGAACTTTTGATGAATCCTTGGTTTCCCTGCAAGAAATACTTAACAATAATGATCATCTCCAACGTATGGGGAGTTTTAAGAGCTCGGGATGTGTTGAAATTATGAGGGTTGCTTGAAATGTAGATGAAGGAAAAGGAATTCTCTGTCGCCCTCTCTGTTGGCTGATATTGCCATCATCTCAGCTCACTGAGGGTATGTTACTGACTGAGCATGTTACCAGCAGCACGGGCTGAGCATGATTAGGTCGGTCTAAACGTGTCTTCTTACGTTTCAAGGGGTAACATTGGTCACGAACACCCCTCCCTTTCAAACTTTGAATCATCGTGGCATTTTTGCTGCATTCTCCGAGGGGCTCGGGGATCATGCACACAGTTTTCAAGGGGCAGTAAAAAAAAATCTGTTGCTGCCTTGTACATAGCTTTTTTACATTTCAAATTTTGGGGGAGGGGGCCAGGGCATCCTAGGACACGAACTTCCGGAGGGCACGTCCCCCGTGCACCGTGCCTTCCGTCCCCTCGAAGGTGACCTCACTGGTTCTGCATAATCTGTTCCCCCCCGTAACCCATACTTCCCCGTACGTGAAAGGAGCTCGCTTCCAGCAAACAGTCGCTCCATCCAGTTAGTCATTCGCCAGAAGCAGTTTGTTGGAACTATTGGCAAATATTTTAACACTTCCATCTTATTGATTTCACTGGTGACATTAAATATCGTGAATGTACTTTCTCACCTACCACGCGCCAGGTGGTAAAAATGTAGTTTTTAGTATTTTAGAAACCACATGTTGTCCATTTATAACCAGTCCAAGTATACATGTACAGTGTAAATAAGCTTGTTTAATTTGTTGTATCAATACACGTTGGCCCACCCATCGTACGTCAAGCATTGCAGGCCTTGGGGAATAGTTCACCGCACCTCTGGCTGCCGTAAACTAAAACCAGTATTACTGTCAAGGTTATCGTTCAGCGAGGGATTATGCGAATTCCCAAGCTTATCTGATATTTATTAGACAGCATACCATCGTAAAAAAACCGGCGCATCTGAATTGACAACTTAAGCCAACAATAAAAATCTCCGGCTCCATGATACAAGCTGTGCACATGCAGCTGGCTCTTCAACCAACTGTTTTATCGCCATTTTCCCCTTGGTTCCTGGCAATAAATTATGTATGCAGTTCTAAGTACTAGGTGCATCAGGTAAAAAGAGAAGCAAGTATTTTAGCTTGCGCTTTTGTGTTGGTGATGTCAGATACAAAATTTGTATACATGAAAAAGCCTACAATCCTTGCAGCATTGTTCAGAGCCGCCCCGTGTATATCCCGCCCTCTATCGATGATAACGTACGCAGCTCAATGGGGAACATGAGCTCGTCACATGAACCAATCGAAGAACAAGGAAATAAATACATGTACAATGCGAAAATCATACTGTACGATGGCGGAATGTACCAGAAGAGTAATGAAACTTAGAGAATGTTAACTGTAGAGGAATCCACTGAACTATAATGTCCCGAACATATTATATGAAGAGTAGATATTTTTTCTTGTTCGAGCTTTCAAAATTGTTGGGCTACAGGCCTATGTCACGCTCGGAGTGACCTTCAATTCGACCATGGAGGAAGAAGACTTCCGCCACTAACCCAACAACTTCTGTTAATGTTTGATAACTCACGGCGGCTTTCTATAAATATTAAAATAAATAATGTATGTTTTGTGACATCTCTGCGCGTGTGTGTGGGTGTGTGTGTGGGGGGGGGGACCTCGCTTTGATAAACCATAAGGATTGGTGACTGACTGCTACAACATGGAATATTTTTAAACAGTGTTCACGAAATGGGTAACTTAAATAAATTATTTGATTCACCTTTTGTGCGTCTTCATACACTTCTTCAATTTACTATTTCATATCGTTTTGAAGTTAAGTGAATTGAAAAGTGCAAGCTTTTCCGGACAAAATGGCTGTTGCTAATTATTTGAATCAGAAAAGACACTGATCAGTTCACATTTTCATATTTAGATTTTGAACACAAAAGTTGCTCTTTGAAAACATTTCCGAAAAAGGTTACTTGCCATAGGCCTATACTTACAAAACAATAAATTGCCAACGAAATGGAAATTTATCACTGCAAAATATAACAAAGACCAGTATTTTTGTGTAAAATTCAATACAACAATTGGAGTTCAGTGACTGGGATGACATCAAGGTTTTGCTCAAGCATATGCAAATTAAATTAGCATAATACCACAAAAGCTCCAAAACACAGATTCAAATAGTAAAACAAAATTGGAATAAGGTTAATTAAAACACAAAGATGCGATTTCAAGGGTTGTAGTAAAATAGATTGATTGCCTTGTCCCTTTAAAAAGCGACTTATCTCTGTAGGGTTATTACAATCGGCTTTAGGAATGAAATTGATGGGCAGTTTGTAGACTGTATGCGGTGAACTGAGTCACCACATAAAAGTAGAACGCAACCCACAAATCGGTTGGGACAGCCCTCTAAATTGGACCCTATTAATCTTGAATCATCAAATTCCTGCCTCGCGTGTGACTCGTTGATCGGGTTACCCACCCACCTTCCGCAACGCATTCAGGGAGATGATGATAGTACATTGGTGCGAAAGCTCGATCCTGCTTGAATGTTTCCTTGACCACAATGCAGTATAGGAAGTTGACAAATTCTACCATGTATGCAGGACTAGCACAAACCAGGATGGGCACTAAGTATTTAAACACGTGTACTACAATTAAACAACCGTCACAAGAGGGAAAATGCCTCATTCCTGGCATCTGTGTTGTTTTATTTCTGTCGAGAGTTTTGACCGCATAACAACTTGAGCGTGGCATCAACTGGTGTTGATGAGACTCACTTCTTACCACGTGATCGAGATTTCGGTTTTTCGCCGGACATTCTAACCTTTAAAACTCCAATATAAGTGATTCACCGTGCAACCAATAAACGGATAAACTGCAATAGTTTTCACAGTTAAGCCAGATTTCGGTTGTCCCTTTTTGTTCAAGCGTTTTGCTTTGAAAAGATTAAGCCTTACAAGTGCAGTGAACTTAGGACGCACCAACAAGTGTTTGCTCTTCAGAGGTAGTGTGCCATTTGTGCAGCAGTGGATAAGGGTTGTTCGTGATACCCGCGCTGCGGTCAGAATGGATCGTGCGGTTACGTATATTGCTAATTGTGTTGGATACCTACTCCGCGTCTTCGTCGTTTGGGTGGCAGTGGTGACATTGTATATACAGATAAACGCCCTGCCAACTCAGGTAAGTTATAACTAGTAGCTCCATAGTGTGATCTTGAATCTCGCCGCTAAAGCTACTGCTCACTTATCTGAAAAACTTTGGCCATGTGGAAACACAGTCCTGACAGTCCCCGATGCGTATTGCAAGGGATTTGACAACACTTCTACAGGTGCATACTCCATGAAGCACCTGGCCGAGCAATAGTTCTCGTTTTGCATGTACTTTCAGTCGTTGTACTGTTATCGTATGTAAACACAAATATATTTTTTTATTTGAGGGTAATTATTTCACCAGCCGAATGAATGTGAAACGAAAGGAATTGACTAGAGCATTGTTAGAGAGCACAGGAGTTGACCAAGAACTTCTATAGTGGCTGACAAGGCTTTTCACCAGGTGTCGACGCATGGGGAGGCTTTGGGTTGGGCACGGTAGCGATGAGGTTGGTAGACATGGGGTAAAAAGTAGGGTGTGGCACTCCAGAAACTTTTGAATACCATGTTGTAGAACAGTGTCCTCAATTTTAGCGCTCAAAACTTTTTACAAACTAGGCTACATTTTAATGTAGGCCTACCTGCATGTGTTTGTATTATATGCATTTTATAGCATTCATTATGCTACACAGGGTTCTATTTCATTTTGAAACTTTAAAGATAAAGACCCACTGAAGTTTGTCAAACCTGACTTTGTGTGGCAATCAAGTTATTTTTACCCCATGCATTTTTGCACAAGCACTGCCAACTTGCTTGGCAGATTGGATACAATGACCCAGTTGGAATCTATTGTGAGGCATTTGCCAAAGGAGAGGGGCCTTGCGAACAGAAAAGGATGTGGCTGCCTTTCATTGCATTCTAAGAAAAACAAGAAACTATCAATACTTGCAATCCTACTACATCCACTGCTTTTGTAGAAAAAGTTGTTTTGCAGGATCAGTACCATGATGCACACTGCACTGACCGAGCCAATTTGTGAACAGTGCTTTCATAGCTTAACCCATATGTGGAAAAAGTCATGCAATGCCAAAACATGTCATGGCCTGTTCTATTTGGAGAGGGCAAAATTTCTTCAAAACGTGATTTTGTGGGTTTTTTTTCATTTAATAGGTTCTATAATATTTATATTTTTAGAATTTGTGATTACAAATATGGATACTGATGAATAAAGATGAGAAATTGATCAATCAGTTGGAAATCGTATACGGAATCGTGTTTCCAAGCGCTACACTTTATGAGCTTTTTCTCGAAAAGTGTTATTTATTGAATCTGAAAATGTGGATATACTCATGTCTGTGTATCTAAAGAATGCAGTATGCTGCAGGGGTCATTCATATATCAAATGATATAACTTTTGATGTACAGAATCCAAGCCACATCAAAAACTCGTAACCTGAATCAGGTGACTTACTACCCATTTTTTTAGAGCTGGTCACATATTAGCCTAAGAATTGCACTTAAAAAGAGTTTAGATCTTCATTTACAGAAGATAATTTCACATACAGTCTAAAACTCTCATTTTGTGAAGTTTTTAAAATAAAAGTGTGTTCAGGCTTTCTTTATCCGATCAGCTTACCAGTCAAATCAAACATAAAGGTGTTTATCAATGTAACTTGTAGTTCCTGCTCTGTTGATAGAATATGTGCACTTTCTATCTTGCAGATACCCCCTGCAGTAATGTATGGAATGACTCAGGTCAGGACAATTGATGACCTTCTACAGATGCTAGACCAACCAGGTAAGTTCCACCCTATAGTTCTACATTGGGCATAATGTCATGGACCATTTCCATATTATAGGCACTATCCCCTTTCTTCCCAAAAGTCACAAGTGTTAAGACTGATGTGAATGCTATGAGACTCAAGGCTGGCAATTGTACATTGGGCATAATGTCATGGACCATTTCCATATTATAGGCACTGTCCCCTTTCTTCCCAAAAGTCACAAGTGTTAAGACTGATGTGAATGCTATTTTATGAGACTCAAGGCTGGCAATTGTACACCAAGTGTCACATCCACCGTAGAAGTGGGAACATTTCCCTCAACTTTTTTCATCAACTTTTTGTTTGATTGTTAAAAATATTTTTTTTATGAGAGTACCGTAAAGTGAAAATACAGCACAGACTGGACCACACATCTTAATTTCTTGTGGAGCATCTGATTAAAAAAGGGGCACTGTGGGAAGATTTCTTCGCTCCATTTCTTGGGGACGGGTGCACAAATTCCATATATGTTATGAAATAAATTATATCTCTGCAACAAGACATCTGTGAACTAAACTTGAAAAGAGTCTAGAATCTCCAGTTTGCCATTTAAACTAACAGAATCGCATTAGAATTACCCAAGCTAATACTGTTGCAGTCTCTCATGATTTGGGGTATTAAGCATGTGCAGAGTTCCATCAGCCCTTACGACACTCTCCATAATAGGTAAGAATGGTCTGAAGACACCAGACCTTACTAGAGTACCAGGTGTGCATTGCTGGCAAAAAGCTTATTCCACATCATGTGAGACAGCAGCAGTGCACTGGTCTGGAGAACTTAAACGTGACGATCCAATTATAGTCGGAGAATCAGAGTGTCTATGCACTTTTTCTATTTAATCCACAGTGGACTCTGTTTGGTCATTGGAATTGTTGTCTGAAAATAGTTTCACATGTCTGAAGGAAATCATTTAAAGTATGTTTTTTCCTTTAGAGCCTTGGAATAGTGACAAGGACTGTTTATCCTTGGAAATAAGACTCATATTTCAACTCATTAAAAATCGAAATGATGAATAATTAGCACATAAAGCTATGATTAATGGTTTGGTCTTTCCTGTGGCTCTGTAACCTGAGTTAGTTTCCTGTCTGCTCAGACGCCCTCGGACTGCTGTCCTTATTTTGTCAATTGTACAGTATACAAATGCAAAGTTACTTTTAAGATCAGCAGTAACAATTTTGAAGAATTGCTGGTATTTTGCAAGGAGTGTTTTCCTGTAAGCATTGTTCCTGCTGTCCGTGCAGATGTTTAATGTTACTAGCAGTAACGCTGAAAGCAGCATACATTTATTTGAATCCAGCAAAAAAGAAAACCAGAGAAAAAAAAGTTCAGTTTAGTTTATGACCCAGATTGTGGATGAACCCTTTTGGATTTGATGAAGTTAATGGAATAAATTGAAACAAGCATGACTGTTTATGCACAATTGCCTGAAGCAACTCACAGTGCTTAAAAGACCGGAAATGTTTGATTAGACAAACTTAAACGTTTAACTGAAAATTGTTATATTAATTGCATTGTTTACAGAAGAAAGTGGATTAATTGTCCAGATCGAAGATTAAAATAGATCTTCTCAAACAGAGAAAATAAGCATTAGGTACACATGTAAACTATTATTTACCTTACACAGAGCGAGAGTGTACATTTTTAAAAAGGATGAAAATTAGTTGAGTGAAGAGTAGTTGTGCTAATATTGGGAGTATTCCAAGGCTGTTAATTCATCAGAGTCTCTTTACAATCCAGGGTTCTCTTTATCCAGACAACCCTGGAAACACGTAACCATTTCCTGAAAAACAAAATCCAGTTTTGATGATGTAACACTGCTGCTGTTTTTACACTGCGTGCAATTGTTCATCTATTCATAGTGAAACCAGTGATACCTGGCCAAGGTAAAAATTCAGCCTGGGACCTTGAGGTGACTCAGGGCCAGGGAGTCATTGCTGATGACGATGATGAAGACAGGGATGAGCATGATGGTGATGATAGTGATGAAGACAGTGGATCTGAAAGACAGAAACCTGTTCCAGCCGTGTTAACAGGTTACCAAAGTCATCCAAAAACCATGTTAACTCCTTTACAGTTTTGTAAGTATCATGGTTACCTCAGTAATATCTTCAGCTCTGAAATCTAATCCGGTGCTTTTCATGTAAGGTTCAGTAAAAAGTTAAACCATTTTCCCAGTCCTTTTCTAATTTACTTACCATTCTGCTTTTTTTCAGTTCTGTTATTGAAGCCTTGTGAGGGTTGGTTGGCTTACCTTATTTTCACAATTAATCATCCTGCTGTCTGATTCTTAACCTATTCTCAAAACTACCTAAAAAACTAACAAAGCAACATCTTTGATGCAATCAATATATAAAAACTATGATTTTTTCATAAATTATCAGCATTAGCCGATTCTAGTAGAAGACCTGTTCAAGAAATTTCCCGTGTAGATAGCCCCCAGTCCTCACTCGGCTTGCAAATATGTAAGTACACTTCGAAGGGCAAATAATTAAAGACAAAGTTGAATGACACAGCAAGAAAATGTGACTGATTACCAGAAATTTTACAGTAGTTTTCCCACCAATAAAAATATGAAAATGAACAGTTTTTAGTAGCCAGTAACTTTCGCACACAATAAAGAGGCTAGAGTTAATAAAACAATTTGACATTTTAATTCAGATTCCACTAATACCCAAAGTATTTTGTCCTTTGAAATTATTATTACTTAAATTATTACCACAAGCCTTCCTTTTTTGCTGTTCCTGGCCTTCCCATTTCAGCTGATGTAGAGCCACTACCTAGTTGTATCCCCAGAGAGGCTGTCATTCAAGTTCTCCCAGAAACCAGCAAGCCTCACGTGATGTTCTGGCCTGGCTGTGTGACTGTCAAGCGCTGTGGAGGTTGCTGTAATAGCGATCTTCATGAATGCCAGCCCACTAGATCAGAAACTGTGCAGGTTAAGGTATGAGTTGTAGGCACTAGTTGTAGCAAGGGTTGAAATGTTCCTAACTGAAAATTTAATGACTGAAAATGTTGTTTTTTCTCTCAAAATTTAAATATTGTTGGTGCGAATTTGCAAGGTCTAAATTTCTGTCCCTACTCCCCTCTGTAAAAATTAAACCAGTGAATGAAAATAAGTGAATACAATATGGGATTCCATTATCCAACTCTGACTAATGTGTAACAAGATGTCTGCGCAGCTAAGCGGCTTTCAGACCCATTGCTATATTGCACTAAGTCTGCCAAGCTCCTGCAAGCTTGGAAGTCGAGTGGTTGAGACAATGCACTTTTAAGAAGTTTTTCCTTCTGGTCCTGAGAAAGTGCTGTCAAAAATAGCTGCAAGAGATGAAGGACAGTGTCCAAATTTAATTTGTTTTGTTGTGTTTGGTATCTGTTATATAGGTAGTCCAAATGGAGTACACTCCCCGAGCAAGACGTTACTTCCAATTTGATGGCATCGTGATCAGGAATATCACTAATCACACGGACTGCAGCTGTCAATGCAAGATTAAACCTCAGGACTGTAACCCTGTCACCCAGGTCCATAATAACTGTCAATGTCAGTGTAAGAAGTTGGTCAGCTGCCCTGCTAGGAAGCTGTGGGATCCTGTTAGATGTCAGTGTGTGTGTATCACCTCACAACAGGACAGGTTAATGCCTTAGTTTGTCACATTGGGAGATACTTGTGCGGCTTTCATGTGGTTGATTGCGACTTTTCACTACTCAGACCTGTCCCAGCACCATCAGAATGCCCATTGTGGAACATATAAAAAAGCCTTATTTTCATCCATTATGACTGTGCATTTACAGTCCTTCCCAGGGGTTCTGAGGTATGCCTGTACCAAGGCTGTCAGTGGTGACAATGGCAGAAATAAATTTCATAATTGGGTCAGTTCACGCACCCTGCCTTCAGTCCTCAAGTACACTTTGTATAAAGTTGTTGTACAACTGTGTACAGGGCTTAAAAAAAAATACAAATGGAAGTTTATACCAGTTTTCCATGGAACAGCCTTGTTATTGATCACAACAAGCACTATATCTCCTGTAGAATTGAAGGATTTTGGGTTTGGAGCATGAAAGACTTTAATTTTATTTATTTATTTTTTGTTGACAACTAAAACAAAAACATGCACTTCATCAAAGTTTTTGTGTAACCCAATGTTTTAGAATAGTTGTGAAATAAGTTGAAGATGCAACATCTGTCAAATTTATATCATGATAGAGTTCTCATGAGCATCAGTTCAATGCCATTTTACCAATAAGAAAATAACCTTTTTGCGGGAGGAGTGTATCACATCTCTGTCTGGAATTGCTTTTTCCAAGATTTATTTAGACACGAGTTTTCAGGGCATAGCAAGAAATGCGGTCTGCATAGAAATGTAAACCACAGATCGTTACTAAAGCATGGGTGATAACAATTTCAAAAAGATAATGGATCGACACAAATCTCTCTCGAGTACACGTAATCAGTGTATGATATATATCCACCGTACCTACACACCTGTTTGTGAAAAGAGGCTAGCATCAAACCTTTTGCCTTCAGATGACCTGTTTTCTAACCTGGTCCCTGAGAATACTGCATGAAAGCAAGCCTTGCACCTTCATAAACTTTTCCCACCTATGAGATTGTTGCAGAAACCTTTTACGGAGTTAACCCCACCACCCCAGTGGGATGTCCCTCAGGCAGCTGAGCCATGGGATATTTGATAGATGTACACAAATCGAGCATCAAATTGAATTGATTGTCTGCACACTCTTGTGACCAGCACCTGCGACCTTTGACACTTTTTTTTTTCAAGTGAATGCCATGTCAGTGTAACTTTCTGGGAGAAAGTCCAGTAAATTTTATTCGAGCAGATTAACTTTCTTTTCATTTGGAAGTTGATAAGTTGTGGGGAAAACCTGGAAAGATTGAAATACGTGTCTATAAACTGGACATTTAGAAATCTTACACATTTGTCATCTTTAGGGGAACAGGTTTCCTTGAAAGTGTTGTTTAATTCCATTTTCGACTATAATTCACAGATAACTTTACCTTGATCGAAAATACCAGGAATTTAAATAGTCTAATAAACGGGGAAAAAATATATATTTTACAGCACATAACAAGTTTCTGCTTTGGTCATCCAATCAAATGTTCCCCAGAGTAGTTGGCCTCCTTTTTGTGCTAAGTTTCAATTTCAGTAAGTTATCTTTGTCTTCTCCCCACTTTTCAGGTTTGCAAAGATCAATTTGTCATTGACATTTCTAGCTCTCATTAACCAAAAGGGATGACAATTTAGAAGAAATACTCTAATGTTCTTTTCTGTAGAAGATGTCTTAAGAGACAAGAGTGGGATGACAACTCATGCAGTTGTACATGCAGGAAAGATTTAGAAGCCAGCTGCAGGCCCCCACACTGGTTCAACCGGAGACGGTGCAAGTAGGTTTTCCTGGGCTATTTAAAATTCAAGAAAACATCTGTGTGATTAATGAACAGAATCTCACTTCAGAAGAAGAATGTGAAGATCTTTAACTTTGAAATTTTTGAGATATTTCTAATGGGCTTTTGTTTCCTTTTTTCCTCAGGTGTCAAAGAAGGTCAACATGAACAGTTGTGGGACATGTGTTGAATCAATGTCAACTTTGAACGTTTAAGTGAATTGACAGGTGGATGTGGTGTTCTAAAAGTACCAGAGTGTCGGTTTTACTGGCCAAATTGTGGAGGTAAATATCTACTGAGAAGTTGCAGTGGCCTAATAAACAGGTTGTTATTGATGGAGTTGGTGAGCAAAATAATACCTGTTTTTGACACACCATTTTCATGCTCATTGTGATATTGGACATAAACAACCACTCAGCTCAGGTTATTTGTGAAAGTTTACTAGATATCAGTTTCCTTGGATTTGAAGGATTTTTTTATATCAACCACATTTGAGAAGTATCAGAGTACAGTACCTCAGTGATATCAAGTCTACCATCTGAACCATTTCGACGCAAATTTTAATGTTTGTCTCTGGCACCGGAGAGTTTTGCAAATTCTCCTTGAGCTAAAATAATTATGTAGTTAATGCTACATGCAGTTCCAGCTTAATTTATCTTTTGTACAAAAAGAAACTTCCCACAGTGTATTCACTTTAATATTTTGTATGTATTCTAATGTTTCGTTTTGAATAACTGTACATATGCCATAAAATGTACGCTCTTCATTTTTGTAAAAAGTAGGACTCGATACTTTCACCATAGAGTAGTTCAGAAGAAGCTTCATTTTATTGTAACATTTCAGTCTTCTGAGATAAGTCTTGTATGTAAGGAATATTGGAAGGCTTAAACAGTAATCAAAGTTTTGCAAACTAAATTCCATCAGGGTCAACAGTTTTGTAAGATTAGACCTGACCATTAGCACTGCTATAGTATTAAAGAAAAGAAAGAAGAAAAAGAACACAAAAAATCAGGATCCTTCTTTTCTTGTCACAAGTTAAAAGTTCATAATATCTCTGGTTTTGATGAAAGCCATAATTGTCCAGTCAGCTACAACTCTGTAGTGGATGGACTATTTAACAGCCAACTTGGATAGTCTGGTTACACCAGTAACCAAATTAAAGCAAACCCTACTTTCATACCACAGAGGTGAAGATCAAGTACAAATGTTCCAAACCTCTTGACAGATTTACTGCATCATTGTTTCTGCATCAAATCACAGTGGAATTATCCAAACATTTGGGGGGTACTGATAATTTTACAACATGGCATCTGTGAATAGGGAGGGGAGTTTAGCAGAACTGTGCACATGACTCTCAAAACAAGTAAATCACAGGAGTAGATGCCCCTCTATCTGAGCAGTTGAACTATTTTTAAAATAAATATTTATATTACAATACATCAAAATGTCAAAAACAGTAAAAAGAATTATGATGTCATGTAATTATAAGTAATTTGAATAATTTAAACTTTTCTTAAATTGTTGATTACATAATATATACCCTTTAACCAAATTTCTGTACACTTCTTTTTACACAAAGCTTGGGATTGGGCTTTTAAAGACATTTCTCAAACATTTCAGTAATAAATATGAGGCACTCTTATATATCAAGGGGATTGAAAGAAAAAAGCTCAAAAGTGAGCAAAAAACTTACCCTTTAGCTGTTGCTTTTCTTCCATATGTTTTTGTTTAACCATTTTATAGAGAAAACTGACGTGCCAAAATACAACTAAAATGACCAATACACTAAGAACGGGTCAGTAAATGCACGGAAACTAAATAAAGACAAAAACAGTTTGTTTCAAGCATACAGAAAATTTGTCAAATATTAAAAAAAGCAAATACAAACTTTTTGTTCTCATAATAATTGTAAAAACAAATCAAAAAGTAGAAAAAATATTCAAATCAAAACACAGAAGTATAAATAACTGCATCAAAAATAGTGTCTGAAAGTAGAAGATCCTCAATTGTTGGCTAGACTTGTCGTGAACTATGCCACACAAATAAGGTTAAGTGTTTTGGAGTAAACGTGGCATTTGTGCAAGGGCATGCAAGCGTGTCAGGTCAAGAGTTGATCCTAAAATTTGAGTACCTACCACGATGTGGGAATAATACGCCAGTTTGAGTACAATCACTGTCTGGAAAACAACATTCTCCACATTTTTCCAATGGGACACACTGATGAAATGAAATACTGACATGGCGCTGGCCCAAATCCCCCAGCTAGTAATCTCACATCTCCAATGACCTCATTTTAAAACCTGACCCTGTGTGAACCGTAACCTTAGCATATGTGACCTCACAGAGATTACCTCTCCACACATGTACATATGACTGGGCACAGTGCAACCTTCTCATTTTCATACCTGAACATCATTGACTTGTCCCACAGCAGACACCTGTCTCTGTTTGGATCAAGAGAGGGAGCTGTTGAATCCTCCATAATGTTCGGAGATGGGTGGTTGGAGCTAGTAGTAAAGGAAGACTCCTCACTAGATTTTGAGTAGGTTGTATTATTCATGGAACTGAAGAAGAAAGAAACAAGTTGGGTACGAAGCAGATGGAAAAGTGTTGATCAGAAGAAACACGATATATATGAAATATTTGGCTTCGAAAATTCTTAACTTGAGATGTTAATGCTTGAATGTAAATACTGTCAAAAGACTACTTGGACTCTCCTGTGGATTTTCTCTACATTTTTAGTGTCTTTATCACTTATAATAATTGGCCAAAACAATGATGATGGTATATTACATCAAGTTCTGAGTTAGTTCAAAATAACCTCCAGACTGGTTGTCAGTCCGTCAATTAAAACTCCAAACTTTCAACACATCTGGTAGTTTAGTGAGAGAATATTTTGCTGAAAAACTGGACGGACAGTAGTTTCCTGACACAGACTACATGTATATTCATTAATTGAAGCATGCTTCTTACCTGTCTGACCAGTTTTCATCAGTCAAGCTGCCGTCATGCTCAGGGATAGGAGCCAGGGTGCTGGCCAGTTGAGCACTGAACCTTAGCTGTCTGGCTGTCCGAGATGAGATGATCCAACTCAGTCTGCTTGTTGGCATCTTGCACTCTGGAGAGGAGTAAGTTGCCAGGAATTCTGAAAAGACAGTTTGGCACTCCAGCAGCTCACAGTCTGACATCTGTATTGAAAAGTAATAAAATATTGCTGTGTTAAGCTTAATTGGTAAGAGTTTTTCTCTGTGAAATACAGCTGTTTGTGCAGACTTTTGATCGGCAAGTCTGATCTGAGATTATAAATTCATAAATTGCGGTTTGGTTTTTCTATCCAAGGATACACTTTGTATAGCTATATACAAGGAAATAAATAAACTGTTAAACTATTAAAATAATAAACTATTAAACAAACTACATTTTGATGCAGTGAGATTAACTGAAGAATTATTACCTTAATGGAGTATTGTAAGTCAGCAACAACTGTAGACCAGCCCATATGGCTGATGTTACAGTTGGCCTTGATAAAGTCTGGTAACTCTGATATCAACAGCGACATTGCTAATATGGAGGGCTGAAAGTAAAAGGGAAATAATTTATAGAGGATGTTTTGATTGAAGAAAAATTTCTTTTTTCTTTATACTCGTTAACAAACCGGTGGTTTTACAATGTATGCATAAAAAACCTCTAGGGCTAAAAATAGTAAGTGTACTATAGGATGATGGCAGTTTAATTTAATTTCTATTGAATGTGTTTTGCCAACATGAGCAGAACAGGTGTTCTGTAGTTTTAGTCATGTTTAGTTGTAGTACCAAACAGCTCTATGCACTGATAAGAGTGTAATATAAGACTGCAGCTTGCTTCAAGTGTGAGTCCATGTCTGAAATGGACTGCCAGAGCTATGGCTATGTCTAGTGTCAGTTTGTCCCTTCACAGTTTCAATGGGTACAGACCTAGGCCTACATGTAGCTCTAAATAGATACTGATATAGCCTAAGTACATCATTACAAGATCCTCATATACTTATTATGTGGATCTCAGCAGATTATCCAACATTCACATGAGTTTTATCACATATTCTCTTAAATAAACCAGCAATGCAAGTGCTCAAAACCCAATATTTTTTCCACAGGATACATTTTCATCAATTTGACCAAATTTGTCCTTTCAACCAACCTTGAAAAGTGTCAGAGGGAAATGACACATGCAAGCCTCTAATTTCCTGGTCATGATATCCAAGTGATCAGTCTGCAGTCCAGTGTCCATGCCCAAGATGTTGGACACCACACAGTAGGCATGGAAGAGTTGTAGGAAGGAGAGTGGGGTAGGTGCTTCCATGTCCCAGCCCAGCTTCTGGAGAATAATGTTCTCCATCCGTGCTATATCACTCGGAGTGCAACCACACTGGGTGATGCGAATCAGATCTTCAGGTGACATCAAATCCTAAATGTATTAAAATGGATAAAATTGAAAAAAGTTTGGATTTTCTATGTTTGTCTCTGCAAATGAAAGGAGAAAGGAAGACAGTCTACCGTCTAAATGACGGAATGAAACTCACTTTGTGTACCCAAGTGTTTCATTTCTGATGGGCACCGTTGATGCAAGTTAATTAAATTTTGACATATCTCAAACCATGAAAAATATACTGAAAGTTGGTGTCCCAGTTCTACAGAATGGAACACAATTCTGATGTGCAATGCCACAGACCTTGCACAAGCCAAACAGCCATGTTTCTTCATAGATGAACTATTTTTTTTATTTAGAATTAGTGAGTATTAATTTCTAACTTCATCTAAAACCTGTACAGATCATCCGGTAGTATGAAGTAAATCTTTAGTATTTCAATTGTTTACCTGTGAGTGTTCGAGCATCTTTACACTGAGGTAATAACTAGCGACAGTCACACACATCAAATGATGAGGTCTTGCCTGAAATAAGGAAAAGGAAATTTGGAGTTTATATCCAGGGACACTACATAGTCTGAATTAAGACATTTCTTTGAAAAAGAGTTCACGGTCAAACATACATGTACAATGATGAAATCACATTTGGTAACTTTTCACAATGTACTTGAAACAAACATGTACACAAACTAATGTAACTGAACAATTTTGAGATAACGTGTACAGTGATTTAACAAAACTACAAGCTCAGGATTCCAATTATCCAAGTTCCAAATTCACTTTTTGAAAAAATCAACACATTGTAAAAAAAAAGTATATCAGCAAAATACCTTGACTAGAGAGAGGAAGCGATCCATCACATTGACAGCCAGGAAAAATGTCTCTGGTGAAAGATTATAGAATCGGTTCCAGCTGCGCGTTCGGTCAACAAGCGTATTGTGCATGGCAGGTGTGATGCTCTCCTCATTCTGGGTAATATTACACAAAGACAGACAGGTCTAAATAATGTACGTAGTATGTTGATTTGCAATGATGGCACTGATACGTGTGTAACATGACATTTAATTTTACGTTCATTCAATGGGGGGAGGGTGGGGATATGGGGTGGGACAGGGATTTATAGAGCTGTAGAGACCCCAAACGTCAACTGGTTGATCATGTAATGTAATAATACCTCTGGAATATTCTGCAAGTGTTCTAAATGAGACTGGTAGAAATCCTGTGCTTCCATGGCAATCTGTATCATTCGCCATAGATGGCTTTTCCCTGCAGTGGACATTTTTGAGGTGACTGATGCTTCTCGGGTCATGACAATCACTTCATTGTAACCGAATCTCCAGCTGGAAAGTATGGAATGAAACTATTCATACACCTAAATGGAATTTCCATTTTGACAATTTGTATGAGCTGCATTCCATTTCTATTCAGTTCTTTAAACCTAAGAATAAAATGTGATGTCGTGTCATCAGAAATTCAAAAAGCTGAGGAAGTATCCAAGTTTTCCTTTTGCTTGACTTCATAAATAGTTGTACTACTTCATCTACCACCCGTTCAAGCAGTTGCTTCACAATTTCATTGTTACCTCAGGAATCCAGGATTTAATCACTTCTTATTGAGTGGCTACAACCACTAGTACACCCCCCCCGACACACACAATAGAGTCGTCATGTGGTGAAAAATGTTCAAAATCATTCAAAATGTTCAACCCCCCCAGGCATTTATTGAACCTGTTTGAGCTTGGCCTCACATAGTTCCATGTCATGGTCAACAATCATGATACTGACCACATATGGGCGCCATCAACAAAGGCTATTCATTCTCCTTCCGTTTACCTCTTGTAAACTGTAGCCTCAGCTAGCCTAGATCATGTACATGTAGATACACGTACTGCTACGCTGGAGCGACACGCAAAAGAATAGGCCCTAGGGCCTAATTCTGTGCAGGGGCCTATGCTCCTAGTTTCCCCAATGTTTACGTGGCTGTTGCTGTATGGAGCTTAAAAAAAACGAAAGAGCATATCCATAGAAAATGACTTACCCCATTCATTCTTCTCTTCAGCTGTGACAATCAATGGTCGCTGTCTCCAGCTGCAGCTGCAGTTACGTCGGTACATTCACCTCTTTGTAAACACAGCAGCTGCTTTTGTATACTGTGTCGGTTTCAAAATTGGCGCGCAACAACCTCGATCTCAGTTTGGTCGAGCAGTACGTTATCAGTGGCGGCTCCGTCAACTTTTCGCTGTTGACAAAGTTTCCTGACGATTATCAGCCAGAGTTGTATTATTGTTGTGTTGTCTTTAAAATAACACTTTTTAAAAAGATAAACATTACAATTACATTAAGAATATTTCAATTCGTCCGCAAAGATGCGGGATGAATTAAACATGCTTAATTGAAACTAGTCCCCAATTTTAAAAAAGTGCTTTCGTTTTCTTAGGATCCCCGTTTCTTGACTTGCCGTCGCTCATGGGAAAGATTTTTTTTCAACAACTTGAAGAACAAATGTGTGGGACAAACGTATGAAGTTTGATCATGGGATTGAATTATTAAAGCACGATCATAGTCTGTGATAAAAGCAGCCAATATTCCAATGTTCATATACATGTACAAAAGCAAATCGGGTTATTTAATGGAGCAATTTATTTTACGGTTGAAGCTACTGAAGTATTTCGCCATAGTGTTCCCAAACCTTTTTTTAACCTCAGGAATGACCGTATTCTTTGTCATTTTCATGTAGGCCAATCACCACCCCTAATTACAATCGTCCAAGTTACTTTCCACGGAAAGGACTGCGAATAGACATGCAAATAACCGCCATACTTAACTATGCATAAAAGCCAAATAGTTTTGCAAGGACAAATGCCTATGCATTGTATCTGTGCATCCAAAGCGCCCCACGGAATTTGAAGTAGGCCTACACCTGTAAACCCAACCCCGGCATACAACACGTGGTCTCAGCTCTGAGCACGCCATGTTTCTCCAGGGACACTGAGTACAGTTAGCTTGGAAAAGTCCCGGCAGTCGAACTCAATATTACTGATTTTGGAACTTAAAATCTATTTTCTGGATTTCTTGGCTTGAAGCTAAAAGGATTCTCCTTTCACTGAGGTTTTATAGAGAGAATCTTCACGTGCAGAAAAAACGCCACAAGATCATGAATGCTAGGTAGGTGTGCATTTATACAAATCTGATTGGAACTTGCAGATAGACCCGTTGTCAGTGTCATTGTTGCCTACCTTTGGCTGGAAAAACCATAGCTAGTTTTAGCTGGTTTTAAGTACAGAAACAATACAAGAACTCAGACGCCTTCAAGAATTCTCACGTAACTACTGAAATTACTGAACAAAAAAAATAATTCCCCTGCGGCTTAATTAAATTAGACAATGCCAGCCATGGCTGAATTTTTTGGAAAGAGTTCCTCATACGGAAAACGTTAGGTTTCCCTTAAAATGTATTAACAGCTGTCAGAAAGTGATAACGTCTTAAGAAAAAAAGTGAAAATCAGCTAAGAAAATTCTGAAGCATTTCAGACAAGTCGCATAGGTTTATACACAGGGCATCAAGTGTTGTCCGAATCTCTTTCCCCTTAGTTCAACTGAATGCTGAAACTGAACATTTTAGCATCTGAACTTACAAACTTCTGATCTCAATAGTGGCGTAACTTATCGACCCGAAATATTAAGATATATTAATTTGACTATGTGTATAATAGAAACGTTACTCTTCTTTTTATGCTAAAAGCTGCTGTCCTGTACATTCTCGAGGCTGATGGGTGACAGGAAAGGAGAACCGTCACACTGGATGACGCATATACTTGAAAACGTTCTCACCAAGTCAGCATCCTTTCACTGCCGATGTGGATTAACACAAGCAAGTTTGTTGTGAACTTTTGCATGAAGTATTCTCAATACTTTGGACGTTTGTAATACATTGTGTGTGTCTTTCGATGACAGACAAGCAATTCATTTTGTATAAGCCTATGAGAAGTGTGCCTGCAAAACTTTAATCTGTTTCTATTTTATTACATACTCCAAGCCATCCTCCTTGCACACAGCGTTGCATTGTAGATCTGGAGAAAAAAATTAACAAACTTTGAGTTTTAATTCCTACCATAAAAAAGAAAATGTATGGAATCTCTTCCAAGATCATGAACATCAGTGAGCTAGTATTGGCCAATCAGAATCATTTTCAGGAAAGAGTGACTGTGTGGCCTTAAAAAGACAATTATAATGAAGATTTTTTTCTAACTACAAACTTGAAAATTGGTTATTGTTCAAATGTTTTTGTTTACTACGCATGCATCTGTGACTTGATGAGCATGTACTTGAAAAATACTCCGAAGAAAATTGTTGATTGATCTCGGACTGGTTCACTTCCCCCATGGGTTTGTGCATAAAATGCATGGTTTGTTTGTCATCTAAAACCCCATAATGCAACGGAGTAAAATCTTATTTCTTCAACTATTTTGCAACCAAGTTGTATATATTCCATTGAAACAAGAAATACGATAATTACTTCCGAGTGTAATGCTTGGACCCATCTTCCATTTACCACTTTAAAGTTTATCGTCGGTGTTTAAACAACTAATGTGCATATTGAAGTATTGAATACTGTATATGGAAATATTCTAACTTAAAAAAGGTAATCTTTAAACTCACAATTTTATAAATCTAAATTTTACCTGAAGTTGTAACAGTCTTTGAGTTCAGTGAAATGTGCTATTCTCTACCTGAAACAAACTTAGAGTAAAGCAAAGCTGATGACTTTTGTTTTGAATCAAAGTTCAAGTACTTTGTAAACTTCGAAGTCAGTCCTTGTGTTCTTTGCATACGCTATACAAAAGTACCAACACGAACAGTTATTTACCAGTTTTGCAATAATAAAACTGACAAACGCTGGGAGAGCATTTCTCCAAATTTAATACTTTGTCGTCATGAGCTAAGTGAAGCGTCCATGTGTGTGCTTTTTAAGAAAAAATGGTGCCTTGTTCAAATCTAAGAGGGTAGATATCAGTTGTAATTATTACACAGATAAGTGAAAATGTAGGAAGAGTTCCCAGGGTCCTTTAGTACCTATAAACTGATCTCAAGGTTTGCTATAGAACTTTTTTGTTTTAAATTGGGTCCCTCTTCCCTCTCTTAAAATTTCTTAATATCTACTTAAATCTCCAAAATGTATATTTGTGATGTGAAATATGCTTACTTTGCACCGAAGGACACCTTGGCTTTGGCAGACTCGTCAACCAAATCTTAACCAAAATGCAATACATAACTCTAAGTTGCGGTTTTTCCGCTAGGGAACAAATGTTTGGAAATTAAATTCAAATTATATCTAATGACAACTGATGTAAGGAGATGGAGTGTAAAAAGGACAGCGGTATTTTCAAAATTGGCTCCAAGTAATGCTAGTTGCCCTTGAAAAATAATCCACTTTGTTGTGATAGCGCCCTCTTGCTGCGGATTGTGGAAGATCAAGACTGCGGGAGCGTGTTTCGGCGACTCTTTTTAACAATGAACGTGTTTCAGCTTTGATCACTGGTTAAGCGTTTTAGCAACTTTGTTACGTCTCCATGACGTCATTTTCCGACCAAACGAGAACCAAAGGTTTGAAAAAAAGATACTTACTTTTAGAACTTAAATGAAGAAAAAAAAGAGAGAGCAGCACTGGTGAGAAACATGCCGAATACTGAGTGAAAAAGATGTTCATCAACAGTGTCGTTTGCTTCTTTGCGCCTGCCCCTGACGTAACAGTTTCTGGTCCTTTGCTTTTGTTGGCCATTGCTCTGATATCACTAACGTGTTTCTGCTTAGGGGTCGCCAAAACACAACCTGATAAATGACTGTTTGGCTTGGTGTGCTCAGCCACTAATTTACGAAAGCATATCCATGCAGTAGATAAGTATTAGGATTTTTTTTTTTGTTGTTGTTGTTTTTTTGTTTTAGATTTTCATGATTTAAGGTATATTTACTTTACTCAACTTAATATTGTTAACTTATATCAAAAGCTATTTTACGCGTTAGGGGAAAAACCTGTTTGTAACGTAACGTTTTGTGTACATGTAAGTGCTAGTCTAGCGTTTTAATGGTGCGCCTTTTTTTTTTTTTTGAAGATGAGCAAAGATGATGAAAGGTCTGCCGTTGGGTACTTTGAACACGTGGAAAACCAAAACGAAGATAAATAAATGTGTGAAGTATTTATCATGTACAGCAAGGCCTTCCTTCGTCATTTGAGGAAGCGAAAACTTTTGATCAGTTAGTTCCCAAACAAACAAAAAAGAAAAGAAAAAATTTGACCCTTGCCTCTAATTATAATGATCCTCCGACACAGCGCCCCCCAAACAAAGACCGTGAACTTACCGCGTTTGAGAAGTAAAAATAAATAAGCCACTAATTGCAATTTCGAGCACGAAGTCCCAAATCTTGGATGTGTTGTAAAGATACCTGGAAAACTCCTGTGCGAGGGGCTATCGGCCTATGGGGATATAATCTTGTTGCATAGGCCTATATATACAAATGGGTGATGAAAACCATTAAAATTGGGAGGTGGGACCCTCAGTAAAAGTAGCTTGGTATCTGCCACCTGCACCCGGTACCCGCCACCTGCACCCGGTACCCCGACGATCAAAAGTCAAGTCTGCACAGCGACCACTAGTAGTGCATATATAACAATTGCGAAAGCCGATTTTAAGAGGCTCCAGTGGCGTGGAGATAAGGCATGGAAGTTCTGGCAGAGAGCGACCCAGATAGCTCCAAACCCGAGTGGGGGCGTCTTATATTCAACTTTCTCTGCGGCCGAGCCTGAAAGATAAATATATGGAACGATCGTTGGTCTTTCGGGGACCCAAACAGCGGTGGCGGTAGAGATCCTGCCTTCTGGGCAGAGGGTCCTGGGTTCGAATCCCGTCCGGGACAGCGATGACCGATAGCACGAAACCTGCGATAGGTCCGAGTTCCATGGCAGTTGTCTAGCGAAGAGGATAAAATAAAATAAAATAAAATGGAAATTTTACACTATTTTACTCTGGTATAGTGCAAGTAAAAAGAAGTATAAGACCCTTCTGTATCCGAGGCGGGATTCGAACCCGGGACCTCCGGCTTGAGCGCCAGAGTGCCTACCACTAGGCCAATACGCTCTCCTTACTTAATGTGTTCGGAAGTAATATATAAAGATTCTGATGAGATTGCGCAATTAAAAAAAAAAAAGGCTGTCGGCGCGCATGCGCATCAAGATTCTATCGCAATGGTTAAGTCTGCGCGCATGCCCTCTTGATTGGAATAGCGCGCATGCCAAATAGCTCATCATGCTCGCACGATTGATTAATGACCAATGGCGCAAGCGGACACTCTTGAAAATTGGTGACGAAAAGTTGCCGTGCGCGTGATGCACTGTTTGTGTTCAAATTTTTACGTGATGGTTGAGTCAGCGTGCATGCGCTCTTTAACGTCTCAAAATTTTAGCCAAGTATTCAAAATGAAGCGATACATGACTACCTTCTGCACGCAAATTCCTGGCAGCTTTCTGAAAACTCAGTTTTTCTACTTTTAGCGTAAGGTAGGCCTAGCTGCTTAAAAAAAAATCGGATTTATTTCCAAAGGCCGAACATACACGTTTGCAATTTAGTTCTGACAATTAAAAGAATTAATTTTGTCGTCTTAAACCCGTGGTTAAACACGTTGGACAAACTTCACGCTCAAGAGATCCTCAAACTGCGAACTCAACTCTTAAGTATTAAGCAGACAATCTTTGCTCTCTTTACCCGATGAGTGCACATGGCCGTTTTCGCTTTCAAATTTGTATACAATCACAACTTTCTAACAATTTTTTCAGAGACTAAGTTTCTCGCCCCAAAACGTAAGGAACCATTTCAGAAAGTCCTTGAAAACTGTGCCCTTTCAAAATACACAACCTGTCTTTCCCGAGATATTCCGGTTACCTCTAGCCGAAAACCACGTTGGTGTTTTACATAGAAATTCTAAAAGAGAAAATTCTAAAAGGCTAACCGTTTCTGAATGCAACTATATCTCTGTTGAACCGTACACTCTGAAACTAATTTGACAAATTTGATTAGCGCGGTTGTCGATGTTCTTTAATTTGTTCAGTTTAAGCAGACTGTCAACCGATTTAGCTTGAGGGTCGATAGACGTAGAACACATTAAAAAGAAGTTTAAGACTGTCGTTCAATCGTAACTAGACAAAATGGGTTTAATTTAGTTTTCAAACGTGCTATCTAGAAATAAGGCAATTGAATTTTTCGCCAATGCTATCAGTCAAGTTCAACTAATTCGTAATATTCGACCAGTTTGCAGTCGATAGCATACAGAAATTGGCAGATCAGAAATAATTTTTCGTCAAAATATGCAAAGTTTATATTCAGGCCAGACGAAATATAACAGGGAAAAAAAAAACTTGACGATGAAAATTTACAAAAACAAAACAACCCCCCCCCGAAAAAAACACCCGGAGATAAGTGCATAAGTCTTCGTAAAAGCCTGTTTTCATCGTTGCTTTGCTTATATTTTGTTAATGCGTGGTGCAAGACCTATTGTTAATTGAGAAAAAGGAAAGCAAGATTACTGTATGAGCAGAAACGTCACTTGCCAAGTGGTCATATTTATCGAAAGAAAATGATACAATTTATAAGTTTGATTTATTTACAATTTTTAAAAACAAGAAACGAATTTTGATGCCACGTTAGTGAATAAGAGCCAAATACTAAACAGCGTAAGCGAAATTGCACGAGTGTACGTTCTAGGACGCAAATGAATGCATTCCTAAATTGTTACAATCTTTCTGAAGTCAAAGTCTATAAGCAGACAATCGTTAATTAGCTGTTTCGGCAACTTTGCCGAAACAGTATTGTTTTTCTGATTATTTTTTTTTCCTTTTTTTTTTTCTTCAACTCAATTCCTTCTACCAGTCGACTTTGGCAGTTTACAAAATCTGATCGACTTCATACTTGGCAGACCTTTGAACCATCATTAAGGACGGTCCTAGAAGAAATTCACAGTGATAACTTTAGTTTATTTATTATTGATTTTTAAGAATTAATTTTTCCCCATAGACTTTGTACACAGACTGCACACAGTTTTCGGACTGTCCTATATCAGGCTATGAGGGCGCTATTGCAGAATTACGGTTATACCTGCATGGGCTTTCAATTTTCAACAAACTGTTAACAAGTAGTCTTTAACTTCGGCGCAAGATTACTATAAGAACGAAGGAGAAATCGGGTACTTTACGCTCTGTTATTTTATTTGAAATATGCCTAAGAGTCCGAATATGAAGTAATATTTCATAACAATTGTTCAGTTTAAGCGCAAATCACGTGACANTTAACTTTGTACGCGTTTTCAAGGCACAATTTTGAACCCTTTCGGATGTTTGATCGTTTTCAAAGTAACGGCCAACAAAAACCTTGATACAGAAATTATTCTAAATAAATGACGTCATGATGACGTCATCATGTGATTTACTCTTGTTTTTTAAATATTTATTTCAGCCCCTTGACTTTGTACACGTTTTCAAGCCAGCATTTGGGTTACATTGAGAGCTTTGATCAACAATACTTATTTTGTTGGTAAAACAGTCCCAAAACAGCTCGGTGTTTGTACTTGTTTACAAACACTTCTCTCTAGTTCTTTTTCAAATTATTCGTCTTATTTTGATTTTGTATGTTATTTTGTGTTTAAAATTTTCAAACATCGTGTTCCCTTGCCTGGGACTTTTAGATCAGATGCTTCTGCTTCACGGTTTTTCCAGTTGCACGTTTGGCGTTATGCAATCGATAGGTAAGGCATAACTACAAATAAAAAATAGCCAGATGGTTTCAAACTTTTGTGATAAGGTGATAAGAAAACAAAACAAACAACAGACAAATCTAATTTCATTGATTGTTTATTTTGTCAGAATTACACGTTACTTGTTTATATGTTAATTACAATTATTTCTGATGCCAGTTTTTCGAAGCAGAATTATGGGGGTAAGTTAGTGGCTGCAATCAACTTGTTTTGAAACAAACCTTCACTATGCACCTTTGTGTCTCAGTTAACCTCATTTCAAATTTTGTTTCATTATTTCAAAGATAAATTTACTGCCCTTTTAGCCTTTATGCTAATGATATTTCCATAGTCACGAGCAAAACTGTGATGTCACCTCAAGAAGAAAACCTCGATGTAAAATTGGTATGTACACGAAAAAGTCCTCATTTTTTAGTTTTGCTGGACTAAATGTTGTTTTCTTTGCTTATTCATTGTGGTTTATGTGGATAGCAATAACCAAGCATCAATCCCTTCCTCAGAAAGTTTCCTCCGATTGTTTCAGCAAGTTAATTCTGGGTTCACAATTTGCACAGAACACTTACGCACTGATCTATGTCTTCCTGGATGACATCACAGCAACAGCGCCCTCAGTTTTTAAGTATTTAAAAAAGTGCCCTTTTCAATGCATTTTACCAAATAGGAATATAAACGAGTTTTCATACACTGAAGAAGAGAAGAGAAGATCATTGCAGCTACACTTAATGAACACAGGTAGAACCGATTCCGTGTGGGGAAATCATTTGTGAGAAGAACTCATGGAAAATGAAATCTGCTCAAAAGTTGAACTTTAATTTACTAAAATTCTTGCGAAAAGGTCCCCCCCCTGAAAACTTGCAAATCCCAAGTTTTACTGAGTGACTAATCTGCTTGCTGCATGAAACTACAGTGGCATGATCTCATTGGTAAAAATTGGACATTGTACAGCCACATTTTATGACTTCATGCACAACAAAATCCCATAGAGTATTTTTTCATCATGTGAAACATTTATAAGAAAATATGTCAAAGGCATGATTGGGAACAAGGTAGAAAAACTGTGAAGTTTAACAAATTAAAAATGAGAAGATGAAATCTAGATTATTTCCCATTATAAAAGTGATGGCAAAACAAAAAACATAAAAAAAAAAAAAGTCAATGCAAATAAAGAAAAAAAAAATGATGCCCTTAGTGACAGGATTGAAATAGTGCCTAAAAGTAAAAGGTCATGCAGCGAGAACCCCTGCGCGGTCCGCCTATGGGGATATTACATTGGGCCGTCCTATAATTTCATAACTTTTGGAAAAATAATTCCTAACTGAAATCTCCCGACGAAACACTCATATTGGAATTTTACCTTTGTCTTCCTCAAGTAATATTTACGAAAATCACCTGGGGAGATGGGTAAAATACGAATTTCATGAACGACCTGTCACGTCCGGCGATGTCGTACCTGGGTCTCTTTGTTCGTGCATGTTTGTTTTCAAGCCCCGTACTTACGTGAAAACGAGACTGTACAGTGTTGCAAAGACTTGCCTACCTGCTGACGATGGTTTCCAGATTCTGTTGAGTTAACATGACATAGTTTTGTCAGCAAAAAGGTTAGATAAAATATTGGAATCTTTTGTAAAAGTAGATTACTGCTTTAATTTTATTACCTTATAAATTAAAAAAGTTCATAAAACATTTTGATCTGTTATTATTTCAGCTTTTACCGACGAACTACCTTAGCGTTTCAAACCGTAAATGTTCATCTGTGTACGAGACCACCGTATTGGACTGTTCATGTATTTTAGATTTTCAGAAGTGATGGGTCAATTTTTGGCAGGCTATTTCTGCCAGTTTCTATAAATTGATATACTAGCATATATTTTTCAAGGCCCCTTTTCTGAGTTGGTTTTTGAAAGAAGTAACTGAACAAAAAAATAGTACCAATTCTAAAATCTTTACACATTCTTTTTCCTATCCAAGGGTTCCGGAAGCGCGCCATCAGGGGTCAAATTTCAGGCACTAATGCAGTGGGAATGTTATGGGTAAAGTTGCAAAAGTTAGGGTGGTTAGTCCAAAACAGTGTGATGAGAAACAAATCTTGTAATGTTTTGAGAAAGTCCTGAATTTACAGTGTGTTTGAAAATGATCATAAAAAAGTAGGTAAACTGTCAGAATCACCCGCAAAGGTTTGCCCTGTTTTGCCCAAAAAAGAATCATTTCTGATTTTCAATGCCTTATCCAAGATCTCTGCAGACATAATGGTTCACATCATTATTACTATACAAGTTTGCATGTACAGTAATCATACTATCCCACTGTCACAGACTTCTATAAGAAAAGTCACTAAAACCAACATGGTCTTACCGCAATCCATTCAGGATGAAAGCTTGGAAGAAGGGGTACATTTAGTCTACATCACTAGGTGGCGGTGGTTGTGGGGGTGGGGTATCACCCTTGCCAAATTTAGACTGCATCTTGGTAATGAGGTTAGCTATCTTGGGGTTGCTCTGGTATTTCTTCATGTTTTCTGGGTGTTGACTGACATCACTGAATGCTGCCATGACTTCAGGGTCCTATATGAGAACAAGTACACATGAGTCACACACAACCTAATTTCCCAAACAGCAGAAAACCTGTATAATTTAAATGAAATAAGTTAACTCATAAATACAATCTGTAAATGGGTAATTTTGAATCTTAAAAAATGAAATCAGTTGTTTTCAGAACCCTCATATCTTAAACTTAGTATTAACTGTTCATCCTACATTTTGCCTTTTATAAAATTTCTGCACTTTTCTCTCTTTGCTTTCTCTAATTAAGCTATGAAGCATTTTCAAGTGGGGTTTCCCCTGCCTATTCAACTGTGAGGTGACCCACCTCACTGATTTTAGTGACCAGGCCTTTTCTTTTTTCAAGATGTATTTGTTGTAATTTTATACAGGCTTTTTCTGTTGAATTTTACTACTTCACACTTGAAATAGACAAAGGTGGAAGGAAAAAGCAAAATAATTAAGATATTTTGAGATAAATCAGTTTGAAGTCATTCAGAATGGTAAAGAGGGACACAAAATACAAAATCAATTTATTTTAGAAGAGAAATTGGAGTAACTGTTCTATTAGACTATATAGAGTTTATTTGAGGCCTTTTTTATCATACTCGCTTTTGTTTTAGGCACAAGAATTTTGGCAAAGTTTGTTCGACCACCTCAAACATATCAGGACCCCAGGGGAAACCTTGTTTTCACATACACGTACTTTTATTAAAAACAGGTTTTATCGAGAAACCATAATTAATTACAAAGATTACCTCTACAGAAGGAAAAAAATGCAAAGAAACTCCTCGAACATTCCTTCAACAAGCGCTGTGCAACAACTAAGTGCTAACTTTTGAGTACAGTGACAGAGGATGGGCTATACAGTCAGACTCTGTCACAAACATATTTAAGAGTTTGTGGGATTTGGGATGGTTTGGGAATCCAACTGACCTGGAAAGCAGCCATGATCTCTGGGTCTTGCATGAGTCCCTGCAGGTCATTCAGGTCGATTCCACCTGGCATTCCACTGGCACCCCCCGTGCCCCCCGCACCACCCATGCCGCCTGCTCCTGGAAAACCGCCTGCTCCTGGAAAACCACCTGCTCCTGGAAAACCACCTGCTCCTGGAAAACCACCTGGAAACCCGCCTGGAAAACCACCTGGCATCCCGCCCGGCATCCCGCCCGGCATTCCGCCTGGAAAACCACCAGAGGGGCCCCTGTTCTTTTTGCGCTCTTCCTCTTCCTAAAAATATACAACCAGGGGATATAGATTAACAAGGGATCCTACACAAACTTACCAAACCCTCAAAATACTACAGAATTACCTCACAAGGTAAAAGACACTTCTTTTGATTCAAGACCTACCGTAAACATCTTGGCTGCAAATGCTAGAGTAAATGAGTGACTACTAGTGACAATGATTAGCAAACTTTAGCCAATCCAAAATTATGGAATATGCCAACTTTCCCTAGAAAGTGCTACACCTCAAAATGCTCACGTCAACGACTAGGTAATGTCCACTATCTTGTAAGAACCAGCTAGCTCTCAAATATGTGCCAAGTTTTCTGGGAGCTGCAACACTTCTGCCAGGACCTGATTTAACTTAAGAGAGCAAGTCCTGAGTGTTGGGGGAAATAGTTTTAGAGTTCATGTCTGAATGAAAAAAAGCCGATTCAAGGCCCACCCATTCTAAAGGTCTATTCTGCAGGATTCTTCCCGAGGTGGTGTAGGGAACCATACCTTTCTGGCTTTTTCTTGAGCTGCCTTGGCTTTCTTGACTCGCTCCAGTTTCTCCTTGATCTCCTTCTCTTCTCGCTTTCTTTCATACTTTCGTTTATGTTCTGCAATCAGTTTGGCCTGAAACAGATCAGGAGAAAAGGTATGAATTCATTGCATACTAATATAATTATTTGATATCACACAAGCATCCTGCAGAACATTATGAGCCGATCCCCGATTCAATCACAGGTTCATTTTTCTAACAACTTAAGGGGTCACTCCAAACATGGCTGCACACAGTATGGGCAGGTGTTTTTGCTTTGCTCGGACAAACGAGCGAAGGGGGAAGCATAAAAGCCCTAATCATGGTTTCATTTGTCAACCAACATCAAGACCAATCATCTGGGTAGCAACTCTGGCACTACTGATTTCTTCTGTGAGTTGTAAGGGTAAGTCAAAGACCTTTTGTGCGCATATGGGCAGTCTAGTTAGCATGGTTAGTTGGCATCAATCATACCACAGATCATATACATGTGGTACATGTTCTGTCGCCTACACATGCAGGCCTAAATGCACTTGTACTTCAAATACATTTTACTAATTATTTCTGGTACTGTAATGTACAAATATGTGCAAACACGTGAACTGGCCACCTATAAAGCATCAAAATTTTGTGTACACTTGCTACATGCATGAGTTATACTGTATGCATCTTGTGATCTACTTTAGTAAGGTGGCCTACTAGGCCTAGGGGGCCTACCGCTGCTTCACACTGTCACTGTGCAAACTGTACATACATGCACATGTATGTAGTGTACCTGATGTGCAGTATATTATCTGCTGGAGTTGTGAGCTGCTTTGCAGTGTGTTTCAATAATTGGTATAAAAATGAAACAAGTTCAATGCAATTATTCATTCTTTTTACATGTACTTTCAAGACTTCTGCATGGCCAAACATAGACTGGACATAACCTTCGTTAATTCAATGCACCCTCTCAACTGAGCAATTATACAGATGTAGCTGCTACAGCATAATATGCTGTGCAATTTACACCACTGGGAAAGAGTCCGAGGAGCGAATGTTCTGAAAGGCAAATTTTTCACAAAGTTCATCTTTAGACAGCAACAGTGAACAACAATCTATTAAACTGAACTGTTCATTCATTATGCTTTTATCCTTAGATGCTCCTCAACAGAAAACCCCACCCAGTGAAGCATCTTCATCTCAGGAACATACAAAGCCCTCTCCGCCTTCAGACAAGACAGCCACTGACAAACACGGTATGACACTCCCTATCGATACAATCAGCAGGAGCCGAGACCACATCTTTGACCTCCTGAATCTTGACCGGCAGGGGCTTCTTCTGGATGCAAAGTTTGTCCAGGACAGCATTGAGAAGATGAAGAACATATACCACCTATCCATTGAGCCCATGGCAGAGGCTTACAAGTTTGAGACTATGGGACACCCAGCCCTGTCAGGTAAGGTTCCTCAGAATAATTTAGTCTCTTCGTCATCTTTGGGGGGGGGAAAAAGTGATAATTTTCTTTCAAATAATCATGGGCATGTTACATGTACACACTGGTATCCTGTTAAAATTGGACACACTTAATGGAAAAAAACATCATGTGCCAGTATCATGAGACAAGTGTCCACCTGACGTTGCCATAATCCCAACAGATTAGCTTCTGACAGTGAAAAATGTCTCAGAAAATACTTTTTTCCCAAATCAAATCAAATTTTAAACTTCTTCATTGTATCAGATGGTGAGCTTGATGCCAAGCCCATGGTATTATTTCTTGGGCCATGGAGTGCAGGCAAATCAACCATGATCAACTATCTTGTTGGACTGGAGGATGAACAGCGACTACCAACAGGTAACATGACAACAAATTTGAAACAAAATCACCACAATAATTGTCATGAATCAGGACACATGTATCCTAGATCAGTATTTCCAGCACTAGCACTATTCTGTGGTAAATATTTCTGAATGATTTCCAGCATTTTGTTTCCTTATATGCATGTACTTATATGTCACATTTAAAAACTCTGTGGTATCCATTTTTACTACACTACTTCTTAGTGTGGTTGTTGGCTCCATGGAATTCAACCAAACTTGGAATGATTTACAGCATGGGCTATGATTTTCTACTCATGTTCAGGGGCAGAGCCAACGACAGCAGATTTCACAGTCGTAATGCATGGTAGCCAGTATCGCTCTGTGGAGGGCCTTGTACTTGCTACAGATGGAAAGAGGTCATTTGGTAGCTTGGAGAGGTTTGGCAATGGGTTCTTGGAGCGGTTTTACGGGATGGAGTACCCACACAAGATGCTGGAGAAAGTGACGCTTGTGGACACACCTGGCATCATTGAGAACCGTAAGCAGCAGGAACGGGGATACCCTTTTAACGAGGTCTGTGAGTGGTTCATGGACCGTGCTGATCTCATCTTTGTGGTGTTTGACCCCACAAAGTTAGATGTTGGGACAGAGCTCGAGTCCACATTCAAGCGCTTGAAGGGACGCGAGTCCCAGATCAGGATCATAATGAACAAAGCAGACACTATAGCACCAAATGAGCTGATGCGTGTGTATGGTGCTCTATTCTGGAATCTTGCCCCCCTTATCAATGTGACTGAGCCACCACGTGTCTATGTTGGTTCTTTCTGGCAGAAACCTTTCCAGCTCCAGACATACAAGGATCTCTTCTTGTCTGAAGAGAAATCTCTACTGATAGATCTAAACAACATGATTGAAAACCAACTGCACAACAAGATAGCTACAGTCCGTCGTCGGGCTAAAGAAATCCGTACCCATGCCGTGACAGTCAATGAATACCTAAAGAAATTTAATCGCAATAAGCCCATTGCCCTGATGGGCAATCCAGAGGACACCATGCGTGACATTGTCCAGAACCCTGACAAGTATAACATATTCAAGACAGTCTTAGCACACGCCAACATCAGCAAGTATGATCTGCCAGACCCAGAGGAGTTCAAGACCTTTTTTGCCATCAACCCAATCGATTCTTTTCAACCACTGGAAACTCAATGCAGTTACTTCTCAGGTTGTTTATTGGATCGCATCGAACAGGCAATCTCCATAGATCTGCCCAAACTTCTGGAGTCCATCCAGAAGGAATCTGGGCTGAGTGGTGAGTGCAGCACACAGGGAGGATGCATACAATCCGAGAAAAATATGTACTCTAAACCCTGACAATAATAAAGAATTGCAAGTGTGGAACCCCCCCCCCAACAATTAAGTTGAATTCAACTTATGTGGTACCAGGCTGGTTTAAAATCAATTGCTTGAATTCCTATTTTATTACATGTACTATGCACTGACTGAACCATTCCAAATTCACATTTTGAACAGTTACTAAAACGAATCGTTATTTTCTATTGTGCAGTTCCACTCTTTAGTTTATCCTGAAAAACTAAATGCACTTGGCTGGACCGAAAGGGAGGCATTTTGCACTTTAGAAGTTTGTCCCCATTCTTTTGTATTTTACATGTAAAAGATACTTAACATTGTATGATTTACACATGTAGATTGTTGGTGACAGTCCCTATCATTAAGTCTGAATCAATTTTGAAATTACACTGGACAGCAAAAGAAACTTGCCACTTCTGTCAAAGGCCACACATAAAAATTCACTCCATGCAAATAAACAATTTTATAGACAGGTATGCTGCAATACCCCTTACTAATCACATGCCCAAAAGCAAGTGATTATCTTTATAAGGAAGAAGAAATTGGCATGCACAGTAACTTGGTTACTGAATCAAAAGTTACACACAAAAACACTCTCCACCAAGCAAAAATGACCCATG